CTCCTGGCCCTGGAGTGGCTGATTATCCCTCGGATCCACCACAGGCGTAAAAACCCCGCTTGTGGCGACACAAAGCCAGTCTCTCCTGGCGGCCCTCAACAAGGACCGGATCTGGCAGCGTCTCTTGACACTGATGCGTGCCGGCCGGTCCGTGCACCGGCAGTTTTTTTACGGACATTGTGGAGTGCATGCTAATGAGCCTGCGGCTCAGCATGCGACGCAGACCATGGCAACCGGACAACACACGGAAAATGGAATCGCACCCATATGGCACACGGACCCGCTGACATGCTTTGCTACCCAGCCCAGCAACAAGTGGCGTTGTGCCATTCGCCAAGCCACTCACCGCTACTCGCTCTGTGGTGCCAGGAAGCGGTCTCCGCCACTGCAGGATCAGCCAAACTCCACAGACACGCCAGTTGACACGCAGGAAACCTTTCGCCAACTGCTTCTAGAATGCCCAGGCACCTCCGCTGCGCGCCAACGGGGGGCATTCAGGAAGATCCACGCAACAAAAAGTTCTCTCAGTGGCAGTCGCTTCATAGCAGGAATCCCTTTCCGCTGCTCAACCGCCTCCTCGGCACCCAGATGGCATTGTATAGCTAGACGCGCCGGTAAGAGTAGGGAAAAATAATAATGAGCATTCTCGCCACCATCGGGTCGTGGCGCACCTTGCGATCTCGCTGGTGACCCTCCTGCTCCACTGCTGTTTTGCGCAACAAGTCATCACAGTCATTTTCGTGGTTTGGTCGGCCTCGTGTTGCGCTCCGGGTTCTCCTCCTTCATCGTCTTGCGGTGTTTCCTTTGCCGTCCCTGGCACTGTGACTGTCCCGTGACGGCTTTTCCGAAGCCTCACTTCCCTGGGAGGTCCTCCCGCCACCAGCGTGCCCTCCGCCCAAAGACTCCGGTCCATTTGCACGCATCTGAGCGGCAGAGGCGCTGCCAGTGCCGGACGGATTGCAATTGTTACTTCGCAGTGGGTCGCTGCAGGATTGATCCTGCCTCGTCGGAGCAGTGAGTGGTCCTGCGGGGGTGGGATTGGGACCCTCACCCGCCGTGTTTTCTCCACCCTCCTCGTCTTCCTGATTGCTGTCAACCTCAGAGTTCACGTTCCCCTTTCGTCCAGAGCCACCGGCCACGGTCCTCCTTCCGCAGCCATCACAGCCCGCGCGTGCTCAGCAGTCACCGCGCCATCACCAGCGGGCCGCACACACACGCCGTCGCAGCAGCCGCCAAAAACACGCACGAGCTGTTGCACATCACTGCAGGAGCCAACAGGACGCAGAGCACACGGCCAGTCATCATCACAAACAGTGGAGTCACCCAACGCTGTGGAGCCGCCTGCAAAAGCACAGAAAACAAAAGGAGAGACACGGCCGCTACACCACGCACAGTCACAAATGGCAGCAGCCCAGCAGCGGCAGCGCACACACACCATGAGGCAGTTAAAAGCAGTGAAAGGGCAAAAACACACAACGCCCCGCAGCAAGCAAACAGAAAAACACACAAAACAATTAGAAACAAAACACAGGTAAACGAACAGCAATGAAGTTAAAATGTAAACACACACAAAACAAAGGGCTGCACAGCATGGCTCCAGCGCGCACGCACCCATCCTCAAATGCGACTCCACGCAATCAGTTGTGTGCGTGCCATGCACATGAGTGTGTCTGGGGCGCGTTCAACGTGACGGATGCGGGGAGCGGCAAGGAGCACACAGCAGGGCAGCGGAAGCAAGTGAGGCAAAACACAATCATTATTTTATCCTGTTTAGCACATCGGACCACAGTGGACGCACACAATTCCCCGCGGTTGAGTGCTGGCACGCACAGCCCGCACACAATTCTTCAGCCCAGAGTGGTGTACGCCAGCGCGGATACGGCGAGCAGCAGCGGGGCACACACCCACGCAGAGCTGCTGAGGCTGCCGTCGCTTTCGCGAAGAAGTGACGGTGCGCGGATCGTCGTTGTAGTTGGCGCCTGTGTTGTGGTGGTCGTCGTGGTTGTCGTAGTAGTGGTAGTGGTCGCCGTGCTCTTCTCGGCCGGATCGCCGGCATTCGTATTTGTTTGGTCTGTGGATGAATTATTGCCACTTGTTGAGTCTGTCGTATCGTTGTCACCATTTTTCTGTACCGTATCGGCCGTCGTACCTGAACTCCCTGACCCACCGGATCCACCCTGTCCCTGTTCTGTATCAAAGGCCGGAATTGTTGGAACTGAATTCCCTGGCGGAGCGGGTCCTTTACCTCTTCCGGTATTACTCCTCGTGTCTGATGCTTCTCCCCTACTGTTCTGATTTTCGGTTCCCGGTAACGTAACTTCCAGACGTGTTGAACTTGGCGTCGTGGAAGTATTTGCTTGCCCCAGAACACCTGCTCCCGGTTGCGAAGCAGGCGATACGCTGGGGCTGTCCTTATTCGGATCTCCACTATTCTCCGTTGCGCACACGGACGGGCAGCAGCACAGGGTGAGCACCAACAGGGCGCACAGCAGACGGCACGTCATCATCGTGAGTGTGGTCGTTCAGTGGTGTGGAGCTGATCTGCACAGTGAGGGACATGGAGAGCAACAGGGGAGACGAGAGGTGCGGCAGACACACACAGAGGGCAAACACACACAAGGAGAGGGCAGCAGCCAGGCATGCACCGTACGCCGCACACCACGCACAGCACACACTCCAATCCACGGCAACAAACACACACACACAGCCCTGCCGCAACACCAACACACAGATGGAGGAGGGAGAAGCAAACAGGAGCGGCACACAAGGCTCCACCGCATGTACATACGGCGAGAGCGGTCCGTCGTGTCTGCACCCCTCACGGAGGATACGCACACAGAGAATAGGTGCAGCGCACACAGCAACACAAAAGCAAAGTAACCATGAAAAAGAATAGATCCCCGCACACCACGTGGATTGTTGGTCCACGGGAAGCGCAGCCACCACCGCAGCAGCAGCAGCACACGCAAAGTCAAGCGCAAGGAATGGAATAAAGCAGCCATTTACTTGTGTTTCTTTTTGGAGGGTGGAAGATGCCTGCATATGTTGTTATTGTTTTTGCGGAGGGTAAACCTTCATGCCTGCATCGCGTGTTGGGGTTCCTGCAGTGTGCACAACTGTTTCCTTCTCTTGTGAATTTTTATTGTGTTGGTGCAGCCAATAATTCAATTTGTGTTGTTCCTGCTTTTCGCTGGTAAAGTGCCGCAATAGATGTTTTTATTTCCTCCTTCGTTGCTGTGGCACCTGATTCCTCACCGTTTATTGCGGTGGAAATGAGAATATGTGAGTGGACTCCCACGCACCAGAGCGCACCTTCGCTCCTATTTATTGCTGCACAGAAGGGCATGTGTGTTTGGTGGTGCCTCGACCATATATTTCGTGGGCGTACATTCCCCTGCAGGCTGAGGGCGGGGCGACGCTCCGTCGCGGTGCACTTCCCTCGCATGCCGCCCACTCTGATTCATCATGCATCACCCCCTCACATACTCCGTGGTGCCACACCGTCGATATTATTGCAGCCGCTGTGATTCCGCGTATTTCACGCATTTGATTGTGCCACAATACATCCGCTCGTGTGGCCGCCGCATCCAAACAGCGGTGCCCAACACCGTGAGCGGCAGTCCACATCCCTGCATGTCCCAGCGCAGTGGTGCTTGACTGTCAGCCAGGCGCCAGACAACACGAGAGTATTGTGCCGGCAGCACAACACACGGAGCTGCAGCGAATGACTCGGGCGGCGACGCATCTATTTGTCGCAAGGCAGTGAAAAGGAGTCGGGCAAAATAATGCCAGCTGCATTCACGGCACCACACCCACAGCCAAAGCATGCGACATGATGTGCGTTTCGCTGGTGCTGTGAAATGCCTGCAGACGACGTCACTAGTGGAGGCACACCACCCATGATCAGCGGACAGACGATAATCGGCATGGGAGGCCACAAAAGACAGCAACAACGCCAACAGCAGCTCTCTCTCTCTCTGTTGCCTCCGAGAAGCAAATATTCCACCAGCCACAGCCGGCTGTGCCATCGTGACACTCCATGCACGTCGTGGCTGCGTCAACACATCCTGCTCCCTGCTGCGCCTCAAAAGATGCCTCACTCCGTCCACGAAGTGCATCGATGCGGGCCGTGCCCGGGCTGTTCGTGAGGACCACAGCGATGTGAGGGTCACCGAGTCGCAGCATGTTTGTTGTGACGTTGTTGCATGGCACCTGCACACACACACGCAGCGCCTGCATCCCTCCCTTTTGTGTCCGCCCTCCGCCGGAGTGGCCACACACACGGGCAGCAGCAAATTCATTTCACCCTCGACAATCCAAAATCAACACCGACATCCCTCGCCACGCAAACATCTCAGTTGCCAGCACGGGCCTCCTGCCGCTCTGCCATCGACGCCGAAACACGGCACAGTGCACGCACTTATTTTCCTCGTGTGCAGTCAGCCGTTTGCTTCACACATTCTCCGACGGGATGGCGACCACAAAAGCACGCCACAAAAGCCACTGTGATCGCACAAGCTCTTGCGATGAGCGTCTGTGTGTGCATGGATCCGCTGCTCACACGTGCTGGCAGGCAGCCTGCAGCCGGTGCCCTCGTGCCAGTTCATCGGCTCCAGCACGGAAAGAGAAAATGGCCAATTCCTAGCGCACTTATTCCCACCAGCAGCACCAACACGCTGGTCGCCAGCCGTCATTCCTCAGCACATCCAGGAATGCCGAAAAGTGGCGTGGAGCTGTCAGCCAGCAATGCCACAATCCCCGCACACATGTCGGCTCCACCAGAGAAGACACACAAACTGCACACAACACCCCTCACATGTTCTCCGAACATCATTCCAACACACCGCGACACGCCAAACAGAAGTATTCGTCACTCCACGCACCTCCCCACACAATCAAATAGTCCATGCACCACGCACGGCAGCAGCTCACACCCGTAAAAGAAGTGTTCCTCGTACCAGTGTTGTCCACGTGCTGCGGTGGGCTGCCCCGGCTGAGGCGAGCTACTGTCGGAAATATTGTTTGCGATCACTCACCCCAACGCGGCCGCCTCCCAGGTGGCTGCGCAACCAGTGTTGGGCTCGACAGCACAGGCGCGGGAGGCCGCAGGGCGCAGCCAGCACTCGCCCATCGTCAACGGTGTCGAACGCAGTCGAGATGCCGGTCGGGACTGCGAGAGAGCGGCGACGGTGAGGGTGCAGCGCGGGACGCCGCCCCTGCGACGCCCACACTCCACGGCGATGCGCTCGCTCAGCCCTCGTGCCGTTTCGTCACGGACAGGCGTCACCACGTCGGAGACCGTGCGTCGTGGCGTTAATCGAGGCTGACGGCGGTGGCGTGCCAGCAGCGCTGACAGGCGGCGGTGGACCAGTCCCTCGCTCACCCCTAGCAGGACAGAGAGCAGCGGGAGGGGCCGACAACTCTCCGTGCGGCATGCGTTCTTCCCGTGTCTGCGGATGCGAGTAGTGTCCCCCGTTTCCCGGGAACTTCGCAGGCTGCCGTCAGCAAGGGAGGTGCCACTCATCGTTCTGAGCGAGCAGCGGGCTGCGGGTACAAGATGGCGCAGCAACGCATTCAATACACCGCCGGGGCCAGGGGCCAAGACAAGCGAAGAGTCGCGAAAGGACAATTCAAGCGCATACAGCGCGAAGGGCCAAACCACATCCCGGCCACCAGGGGGCACGCAAGCACGAAGTGTGCAGACGGCAGTGGGGATCGCAGCAAGTGGGATTCAGACGATGCGACGGA